AGGGCACTGAGATAGCGATATTTTGAGGTATAATGATCCTGCAGTTTTTCATCATGTTATTTTATGTATCTCATACAATGTTACTTTGACGTCGTAAAAACATTTTTTATTCTTATTTAATCAATATAGGTAGAAATGACATGGAATATTGTTTGTATTTGCTTCTGACAATAACAATTTGCGGTCTGTTGAATGACGTAGGTAAGCTTTACATTATTTGGCTGTTCTGAATTTAGTTTTCAGGTGTGCCATACCAACATCATCGAAAAATTCTGGATTTTGTTTTCTAACTGTGATACGTTTCTTTAACCGTAATGTGCATTTTATTGGTTACACATGCACTCACAAAAGAAAGAACCTAGTGTTAGTACAGTTATAACTCATTTTATATGAAAAGGCAGGTAGGTAGTAATATGATGGTGAGTGTAATGAAACTTGGAATGGGCTACTTGTCACCAAATTGAATGATTGAGTAATGCTATAGATATTGCAGAAGTCTGATGACTGTCTTCATCACATAAAAGGAAAGTCTGCTCCAGTTCCACTCACCACATATTTTTACCATGTTTACTCAACACTCATCTTAATACCAGCTAGTCACATACCTGGCATTTGATGTGGCTGTCTTCCTCAAAAACTAAAAACTGTAACTTCAGAGTTCCACTGTGAGAAGATATTCAGGAAACAGTGACTGAAGTTTCATAATACAAAGTAACGTTTAGAGGACAACATGAGGTTATTCTGAGTCAGTAAACTGAAATTTCAGGAAATGCAAAAGAATTTTCCTTTGAAAAATTAAACAAATGGCATGTTAAAAAAAGATTATCACCTTTGTTATATTTTTCCTTCACACTTTGTTTACTTATATCTATGAATTAAATCAACAATTTTATTTCTCTTTTACTTTCATACACATTCATACAATGGAGTTAATGCTAAATTTCCTACATATTGCTCAACTTTTATTTACAGAATTATCATGAAAACAAAATCATTTATACATATACAATGCACAACTGTATATAAAAACATACTGACTTGAACAACATTTTTCATTTGTATTGGTTAATAAAGCATTTAAACTAACATTAATGGTCAATACAAAATACATCTATCTCCTTTTACAATACAATATAAAATATCACTTATATTATTTGTGCTATCAAGAATTACCAGACTGAATATTTTAAACTAAGGAAATATAAAATAACGATGGAAAGTTTAAATATGACATTGGTTCTTGTGCTTAGTACAGAGTTTATAGCAATATGCAATATGATTGTAGTTATGATAATAGTAAAACTGGAATAAATAAAGTGAAAGATTTCTTTTAGAAGTGCAGAACAAGAATGACGCGGAGTTTTCTCGACACCAAACACCAGTCACTCCAGAGTAGAATAAATGCATCTCAACTTCACATAACAAAAAACAAAACATTTCATATCACTGGAGATCTCAAAACACAGGAACAATCTTTGACAAACTCATTACAATGAAATACCATGTAAAACTTAGAAAAACAATTCCTGGTATTTCAAACTTTCTCTCAGTTTCTCATTTATTCATAGACCTGTAATAATGCATTTAAATCATGTTAACTATTCAGTCTCCATTGCTGTACGTGAAACCAATGTAACAAGTGTTTTTATTATACTCAAAATACCTACAAAGTGAAAAAAGTTCTTAAGCTAAACATGAAATTTGATTTCAAGAGATAACTTCATATGGAATAAAATATTCATGTAATAGTACATGACACCTTTAAAGATCTAGGCACTGTCCGTAATTGCTCGTATGCTT